GGCGTACTTGTAGACTTTATATCGATACCAGTCACAGTTGGATTCACCTCCGCGACGTCTGTTATAATTGTAGTTTCTCAATTGAAGGGCCTTTTGGGATTGAGAATCTCCTCTCAAGGGTTCTTGGATACTTTAACAAAAGTATTGCAAAACATTCATTGGATCAATTGGTGGGATACTGGGATGAGCTTGTCTTGTATCACTATTTTGTTGTTATTCAGGGTAATATAAAGTGACATGCTAGTTAAAGTTGAAGCATTTAAATAATTGTAAATAATTAAACTGAACTGTTTCTCATTGTTTAGAAAATGAAAGACATCAAGCTATGCTCGAACAATGAGAAACCAAATAGATATCAAAGGATACTGATGAAAATGATATGGTTATTGTCAACAGCTAGAAACGCTGTCATTGTTATCATTTGTTCCACCATTGCTTACAAACTAAATTCTACCGAACATGGTTCCCCGTTCATTCTCACTGGTCCTGTGAGATCTGGTCTTCCATCCTTTGGTTTACCTCCGTTTTCTACGCGAGTAAAAAATGAGACTTTAACTTTCACAGAAATGTGTTCAGAATTGGGTGCATCTATAGCATTAGTACCAATAATCGGAGTCCTTGGAAACGTGGCAATAGCAAAGGCTTTTGCAAACGGTGGTAAAGTAGATGCCACTCAGGAACTAATTACTTTAGGAATTTGCAATGTTCTTGGATCTTGCGCAAGTGCAATGCCCGTTACTGGCTCCTTTAGTAGATCTGCAGTGAATCATGCCAGTGGTGTAAAAACGCCAATGGGTGGTTTATATACTGGAATACTAATATTACTGGCTCTTAGTCTACTTACCCCTTACTTCTACTTTATACCAAAGGGTGACGCAACTTTCCTTCTTTATTTCTGCTAATAGTGTTTTGCAAATTAATATCTCTCAATGGATATTATTTCCTTTTTAGCTTCCTTATCTGCAGTTATTATCTGTGCAGTGATATACATGATTGAATATCAAGTTGTAAAGCTCATATGGAAAACCAGTAAAAAGGATTTGATTCCAATGTTTGTGACCTTCTTATTCTGCTTGATTGTTGGCGTTGAATATGGAATTTTATTAGGTGTAGGAATAAATCTTATGTTCTTATTGTATCCGTCTGCACGTCCTACAATACACGTTGACAAATGTAAAGTGAGTAATGAAAAATCAAGATCTTGTAATTATGCTTCTAAATGAATTGCGTATATTTTAGACAACTTCCGGCGCTGACTACCTTTTAGTAACACCAGGAAATAGCCTTTATTTTCCAGCCGTAGATTTTATTAAAAAGTCAGTTGGCAATGCCGGTATAAAGCAAGGTTCTTGTCAAGTTCCAGTTGTAGTTGACTGCAGATATATCCTCGGAGCTGATTTTACTGCCGCAAAAGTAAGTTGCATTTAACGATAACATTTTATATAACAAACCGACGCCTATGGTAATATGGTGATAATTTTTGATTAGGGAATAGCAACATTGATAAATGAATTTAACAATCGAAAACAAGGTTTATATTTTTACAATCCACGATCGGATGTTATTGCTGTACTTAAAGGAGCCTGCGGAGAAGAGTTTCAATATATTTCTACCCAGGATGAACTATCATACTTATTATCGACGCATCAAGGTAATATAAATATACCTGCTTCAATATAAACATAAGTTATCAAATATACGCTTATATCCATTAATTATTTCCTGTTTTTAGATAAAACATCACAACAACTTTTAGAAGTAACACGCGACAAATCGCACGAACCATTAATGTTAAATAGTCCCGAAATTATTCATCGAGGTAATCGTTCATGCCATGAACTTAATGAAGTCACAACCACATTGTTACACGCTACAGCTAGTTAAACAATATATAATATTTTCAATTTAAAATTTCGCTTTCGACTCTTTCCATGAAATGGTAGAGTTCAGAGATATTATCTTGAGAGATATTTCATAAAAAAATTACCTTGACTCTTTTTATTGAAACAAACTTTTTACTTTTGCATTTCATTAAAATAGTAGCATCCATCGCAGGACAATTTTCAGTATTATTAAATCAAATTGAAGAAAATGAAACGCATGACAAATTCAGTACCAATTAGAAAAGTATGTAAGAAGTATGTTATATTTCTGTTTTTTTTTTTTTTACATTTGTTATACCAGTAAGAAATAAATAATATATTAATGTAAATATTTATGTGTTGTAATTTATACATGCCTACGTAAACGTTTATAAATTACAGTCTTTTCTTCAACGCAACGTAATTACAAAGGTACATATTCTTGTATATTCTGTATATTTTTATTCTTTATATTTTCTTATTCTAAAAAAAATATATTGCACACTGTCCACTAAGATCGTGTAATTCGTCCATCACCAAAATATCTATCTTCATGCTGAGACGTACATATTTACCACATTTATCAACAGTATAATTGCAATATAAATTAAGTTATCAATTGGCCGATAATTGCACTGCAATGGTGTATTTGCTTAATTACGAGTTACGATAAATATTAAATATTAAATTTTGATTTGAATATCAAACGTGAAAAAGAAAATGCAAAACGTTCACAAAATATTATACGAAATAATCGCTTAAAACTCTCTCTCAAAAATCTGTACAAGAATATATTCGAATATACAATATATAGTATTTTCTGTGAGCATATGAGAAGGATTAAAAGATGGATTTAAATACGTTTAAAAATAATCTTAATAAAGCCCTGAAACAACGTCAGTAACCTTCCCACGATTTCCTCCTGCAGAGGAGGTCGTGTTTCTTCTTCCAATTGGACTTTCTTTCATTTGTTGATTTCCCGAGTATTTCCCAGCGTTAAATCGACTTTTCCCCAATCCGAACGTGTCATAAGTTCGCCCAGCGAAGATCCCGGAATCCATCGATTTATTCAAGAACCTGTTGCCGATATTCTCATTTTGACAAAACGAATTGTGTCTCGCACCATTTTTCATCAGTATCAATTGCGTACAATCGAGATCTAATTCATTTTTCCTGGAACAGTTAATCTCGTTCCATTCTCGGTTTCTCTGTTCCTCGTACAACTCGTCGCTTCTCAGCTGCTTGTTGCTCACATGTCCAGAGTAAAATTCGTCGCTCTTCAAGTGCTTGCTCTTCGTCTTTTCTTCCCTCGCTTTGGAACCCAGTTCGAAGCAACTTTTCGAATCTTCCAATCTGCTGGACTTCGATCTGATAAGCGTTCTTTCTTCTCGAGATTTCTTCGTCTTCTGGTACTTACTGGAACTCCACTGACTTTTTTCCTCCGTGATTACAATATCGATCATCGAGTCCAATCCTTCGTCGATTCTGTCCAAAGATTTAGTCAGTAGATTGGGCGATTTCGGGGCTTCGATGGATCTTGGTCTTCGCGTTACTAGAGGCTCGAGATTGAAGTCCGTTATATAGAACAACCCGCTGTCGCTTCCTCCTTGAGACGAGCACTGATCCTTCTTGGCGACGTGAGAGACGTGATGAAACGACTCGGACCTGCGCATTCTACTTCTCGAGCTTTCTTCGCTGAAAAATTGCTCCTGCTTCGTCAGATTCTCCGAGCTACCGGGTCTCCCGTAACTCTGAAGGCTTCGATGCTCGTCGAAAGAGTTCAAGCTTTCGAACTTTCTGATGTGACTCTCCACCCGGCTTTTACCGGCTCTTTTCAATCGTGGACTCGAGGCACTCGAGTCCAAGTAATCGTGACTCGCGGACCTACGAAGGAGCTTCCGTTTCTCCACTTCGCTTCTGTACTTCGAACTGTGTTTTTGACCGTCGTGCCTATTGTTCGACTTGGCCTCGTTCGTCGTCCTGTTCTTCGCGTTGCACGACGTCTCGTAGTTCCTGATCGTTTTCTTGTCCTTCGTTTCGCTTCCGCTGAAACGTCGAAGGTCGTCGAAGCTCTTCTTCAACTTACGATCGTTGCCGCTTTCTGTTTCCTTCCTGCCGAACTGCTTCTGGAAATGATCGACCTCGGTGTTTTTCATCTGGCCCTCGAACGTTTGACTCTTCCCGTTGTACTTCAGTCGAGAGGCACTGAGAAGGGAATCACTGCCATCGCCGAGAGTCTCGTCCTCGATATCCTCATCGTGAGAATTGAACGCCTCTTCCTGGTCGATGAAGTCACAGTGCCTCACTGCCATGATAGCCGATAAGCAAGGCGGCGATTTCCTAGGCGGTTGAGGATGTAGAATAGTCGGGACGATCGCTTCCTCGACGTCTGGCCCCTTCACCACAATCTTCACGCTTCCTTCAACGGAAGACTTCGAGACTCTACGCGCTTCGTCATTCAATCTCCTGCCACCGCTAGAATCCGTGCTGTAATCTCGATCGTTGCCAAAGTAGGTCACCTGTTCGCCCTTGATCACGCTCTGCGACACGTTGGAGCCCGTGTTGGATTTCGAAATCTTCGTGTCCGTCTGACGATCTCTCTTCAAGACCTTGTCGTAAACGTACGCCTCGGAATTATCCAACGAAATCTTCGAGCCTGTTCTGTGCAACTTGATCTTGGCGGAGTCCTCGGAGTTATAGAAGTCCTGGTCCGCACGGTCTATTCGATTCTGTTCGTGGCTATTGTCCTCCTCCCCGATCTCCTCCTCGGCGTCCTTCACGATGATCCTCAGTTCCTCGATCACGTCGTCGATCGTCGTTTCTTGATCGTTGTCCGCTGGCGAGACAACGTTCGCTTTCTGACGATTCGTTCGCGGCTGGTGCTTCGTGTTCTCCGGGCTGCTCGACCTCTCCGACGAGCTGATACCCTCGTCCTCGGCGTTCGACGACATTTTCGGCGACTGTTTCGTACCGAGCACGGTCATCTTCTCACGGTCCTCGAGGTTGTAATTGTTCAACTTCTCCAGCTGCATTTGCTGAAGCTGCATCTGCAGAGCCGAAACCTTTTTGCTGAGGATCCTGCAAGTTTCCTCGGCACGTACGACTCGTCGCTGTAGGACGTCTACGTCCACGCAGTTGTGTGACCATTTCTGAACCTCCTTATGTAGCAGATCGTGCAAAGCGTCCTCCTCCCTCCCGTCCAATTCTTTCAGCCATTCTTGAAGCACCTGCGGCTCTAGTCCAGCTTCGCAGGCTTCGGCCTAATAGTGAATAAATCAACGCGGTAGAAATCATTGTGAAAGTATTTGTGAAAAATCTTTAAAGAGTGGCAGGTTAATACAAGGGCAGGTTGATAGGACGACGAGATTATCTTTATATGTAATGCGTGCACTTCTGTTCAAGAATTCAGACCATGTTGAAACAACTTTTTCGAATAGCATATTTTATTCATATTATTTTTTTTTTTTTTTT